ACTATAGCGAGGCGAGCAGCATAGAAGTGGCGGAAGGTATCGCGGGGAAACGGGTTGGAGGGGAACGTGATGGGGGTGGTGAGCTGGCAGAGGGTGAGGTAGTCAAGAGGACGGCGAGAGAGTAATCGGGGACGAAGGCCGATCGCCCGTATCGGTACGTCGGCGAACTGGGGGACGGGTTGGGGAGGAGGGGGATCGGCTCCGTCGCCGCGTTGATGGGGTCGGAGTCGTGGCCATGAGGTCGCCATGTTCTGGTCGGGGCGGCTCCGGATCTTGGTTTGGGTCGTCGTGGACGTGCAAGCTTGCCCCGCTCGCAAACTCTAGTTCCCTCTTTCCGACCTCGGTTTCTTCTCCTTTGCGGGCCGCCTTCGGATCTTCAGCCTCCGTGCCCGTGCGCAGCACTTCTTCCGACACTGCTTCCCACTCCGATTCCGCAGGTCCTTCTTCGTTCTCCTCTTCTCCTTCGTCGTCTTCTTCTTCTTCTTCGCTCTGCTCCCCCTCGCTATGCTCGCTATAGCTTCCTTCTTCGGGGGTTTCGTCCTCTTCCCCGAGTACTTCGTCGCTTTCCCCACTTTCTTCCCGCTCGTCTTCTCCTTCGTCACTCTCAGTGCTTTCTTCCTCCTCTTCTTCCTCTCGAATGGCAGCAAGCTGCTCTGTCGTTGGATGCTTGAAGAAGGCAGGATCACAAACCCTCCGGGGATCCAAATACTGCTGCTGCGACGGCGGGATGCGCTCTGCGGCTCCCTCCACACAAGCCGACCACTGGAGATACGACGTCAACGTGCGAGAAAGCACATGAGGAATCGGGTGCTTGTCGTCTTGCGAGATGACGTCGAGAGGGAGATCGTCCGCCAGCTGCGCTACCGGGATCGCGAGCTCTTGTGCGATGAGTTCCTGATGTCCGGGCCGTACTGTACCGAACAGAAACGCGAGGAGTTTTCCCTCGACGTTGGTTCGCCAAGCCTGGATGAACAGCAACTTCAGGCGCTCTATGCAAGGCGGGCGCGCCTCGTCCTCGGTCCACGTTAGCCGTACCTCGATCAAGCACAGTGAAAGCTCGACGAAGTCTTCGCGCCACAGTTCCCAGTGTGGGGGATGAATGTCGGGGACAGCAAGGGTCATTAGACAGTAGGAAGGGCGAGGATGGATATCGGACTGCTAGAAGGTGGGGAAGATGGAGGGGAGATAAAAAACGGAGATCGGAGAGAGACTCATTGGGGGCGAGGGAAGGGAACAACAATAGGGAGGACCGTCGACGGATCACGCTGGTACATCCGAGGGCCGTCGTATTCGATCGCTCGTGTCGGCGCGACCAGATCGTTTGCCCACGCGTGCAGCGATGTCCTCACCGCCGAATGTCGTAAAGGGAGGAGCGTGGAGAGATCGCCATGCAAGTTGATGACGACCGATATGCGGCTGACACCTGGCACCGCTCGCTGATGAACTACTACTGCCGCGGCCAGTACCACTGCGTTGGGCCGACCCTCGATTCTGAACACCGCCGCTGCATACACGCCTTCCGTGCAGAAAAAGTGCGCAAGCCGCCGAAGATCTGGACTGAGATGGGGATGATAGACTTGCCGGATCATCAATTGATCACGGGGTGCAAGCGATGCTTCGCTGAGGGCTCTTTCCTCTAGAAAACTCATGGCGATGGCGATGGAGAGGAAGAGAGGGAGCAAGAGGAAGAGGGGGATGGCGGAGAGTCAAAGCCATTGTCTACGGCTTCCTCAGAAGGAGAGATCGAGGGAGAAGGAGACGAAGCAGAGGGGAGGAGGCGAAGATAGGACACGTGGTGTGTGATCGCGCGGGCCGATCGGCTGCTAGAGGCTTCCGGGGCGAGCCGCACAGTGTCCACGCCGTTGGGGCTGAGCTCGATCACGCGATATCGCCCGAAGAATCATGGCGCTAACTTACCCTGGCGAGCACATTTCCTCACCTGCACCACGTCCCCCAATTTGTACTTGGGCCGTGGACCCGCATTCCTATTTCGGGCCTCGTAGCTCCGGATCTGTCGGCCTTGGGCTAGTTCGGTCATTTTCTGTCGTTTTCAGGCTAGCCTGGGCAGTGACCGTTCCATTAGCTCTAGGTGCCGTTTGGCCTTGTCCCTAGCCGTGGCCCTGGTGGGACGTCGATTCATTGTAGACTCGTCCGAGAGGCTTGGTATTGAAACGCAAGCGACGCTATTGGTCCTTAATTGAAAGGGGCTCATTCCCGTCGATTCGTGGGGCGTTCTGCGATGGACCGCCAGGATGTGATCGACGATATCGGGCCAGGGTCTCGGATCCCGTGCCACGATGTTACGTCGCAACGCTGTCTTTATCACCCGGTTAGCGTTTTCGACCAGTCCATTGGATTGGGACATATGGGGTGTAGTGTTACGTATGGCAATGCCATGTAGGACCAGATTCCTTAGTACTTCTCCCCTGAATTCAGCTCCGTTGTCAGTCAGGATTTCTTCTGTATCCTGATGCATCCTGAGGAAACGGTTGACATACCGCGCGATTTCCGTGGCTTGCCGCGTGCGACAAGGATACGCTTCGATCCATTTCGAGAAATGGTCGACAAATACCAATAGGATTGAATATTCGCAGCTATTAGGGCCAGGGGGCACCACTATGTCGGTAGTGTCCATGCTCACTCTTTGAAATGGCCGTTCAACAACCGTGGGCATTATCGATCTTGGCGGTTGAATCGGCGTCTTGTAAGCGGTGCAGACCTGATAGTTGGCGACAATGTATTTCACATCGTTGCGGATATTGGACCAATACCACTCATTTTTGTCGATAGTGGACTCCGTGATTCGTACGGCAAAATGAGCCGCAGTTTCCTCGTGGGTTGTCTTAACCCAGTCGTACCGCATGAACGGATGCGGCACTACCATCCAAATCCCACTACCGTCCGTTTTCCGTTTTTCTAATCTACCCTCTATCCATCGATAATCGAAAGCCCTTTCGTTGGCCCTCCTCCGATCTTCCTCAGTGAAATCCTGGAGGGGGTTACCTACTAGGGTGGCAATCAAGGCAATATCAGTCCATACTTCGGCCCTTCTAAACTTCCGGGTTTTTTCCAATCCTTCTGACGTGGCATCCAAAAAGCGAGCATCAGTCAATATCTTGTTGGTCCGGCACAAAGGGCACAACCACGGATTACTATCGTTTCTGTATTGGATGCACGAGCCATGGGCTCGTGCGACGCACTGTCGACAATCTATCCAATCGACATACACTTCTCCGTTAGGACCCGTGGAGACCGAGTATACGCGGGAGATGGCTTCGCAAAAATAGCAAAATTTGTCAGGCAGGGAGAGGAGAGACGAAGAGGAAGGGGGGGAGAGAGGGGTAGTGGGGTTATCTTCGTTACCCATCGCCACCGTTTTGCTTCTTGCCACGTGGGAGGACTGCCACTTGTCCGTACTTAGGCTCGTTGGTCAGGTCTGGCTCCTTCCACGGTGTAATTTCCTCGCCCTTTGGTACCTTGACAGGTCGGTGCAGACGTGTCAGCCCGTCCGCGTTGCCATGCCGTTCTGTCTTTCGATGGACGATATCGAAGTCGTATTCTTGTAGTCGCACCGCCCAACGGCCAATCATGCCCGTGTAGTTGGTGAGTTTCTTCAGCGCTAGCAGAGGCTCGTGATCCGTTACGAGGCGAAACTTCTGTCCGTAGAGATACGGATGGAAGTGCTGGATTCCCCAAACTATCGCATAACACTCGCCTTGAGATGCGGAGTCGTTTCTTCGTTCGTTCGGTATGGTTCAAGACACGTACTCGATGACGTGTTCGCGACCATCGTTCCCCTTCTGTGCTAGAATAGCGGAAATAGCTTCCGGTTGCCAGTCCGTGATGAGAATGAACTGCTTCGAGGGGTCCGACCGAATCAAAATAGGGGTCGTTGCCAGAGCGTCTTTGAGGGTTGCAAAGGCGTGCTGGCACTCCTCGTCCCAACTGAGAGGTTGATCCTTCCGTAACAGGTTCGTTAGCGGTTGTGCAATCGCGGCAAAGCCTTTGATGAAGTGTCGGTAGTACGACGTCAGTCCCAAAAAGGCTCAAACCTACATCAGTGACGTGGGAACCGGGGCTTCGTTCACCGCCGCTACTTTTCTCGAGTCCGGCCGCAATCCTCCACGTGTCACGACGTAACCCAAGAACGAAATTTTCGAGAGGAAAAATTCGCTCTTCTCGAGCGCAATCTTGAACCCAGTGTCTCTCAGTGCGCCCAATGTCCATTCAATATGTTGCGCGTGCCCGTGATAGGTTTCCGAATAGACCAGGATATCGTCCATGTACACGATCACGCAGAAGTTAATCATCCCTTGTGTCAGCCGTGTCTTGTTGACGAAATTCTGGAACGTCATGTTCATCGCTCGCTGAAACGTGGCAGGCGCATTGCAAATCCCCATCGGACATCGATTCACTGCCACGTGCCCTCAAACAACACAAAGGCCATTTTCGGTCGATCTTCTTCCCTTACCAGAATATGATGGAAGTCATGCCGAATATCAAACTTGCTGAAATAATTAGCGTACCCAATCGCATCCAACAGATCATCAATCCGGGGGAGGGGATACACATCTTTGACCGTGATTTCATTCAGCTTGCGATAATCAATGCAAATGCGAATCGCCCCGTTTTTCTTCGGCACTAATACTACGGGAAAGGACCAAGGTCCGGTAGCCGGTTCAATCCAACCACTGGCTTCGAACTCCCGAATTAGTTCGAGAGCCTTTTTGCGTTCAATCAAGGAATAGCGATAAGGTTTGCAATGAATTGGGGAGTGATTTCCTGTCTGAATTTCATGTTGGATTACTAACGACAACCCGATGTCAGTGTCTGACATACTAATTCCTCCTTTGTATTCCGGTAGAATATCCGCAATTACCCGGTGGATTTCATCCGGCACATATTGCGGAACGTGCAGTTCGAAAAGTTGGTCACAGATCCAAACGTCAATCTGTTTCGTGTTCGCCTGTTTTGTCGAATCGGGTGGAGGCGCCGAGATGAATGAATGATCCGATCGCCAGGAGAACACCGTGGCCATCATCTGAGCATCTTCTTCTCGGATTTCCACGTGTCCTTCCGGGGTAATCCCGTCACAAACATCCTGCCATGGCACTTCCTTAGTTGCGATTTTTATCCCCAGTCCGTCTGTTTCTGCTTCAAAAATGCCCAGGGGGTTCCAGAGAGCTTGCTTTTGCCCCCAAGCGTAACAATCTCACTTCTTTGGCCGAGGTTAGTAAGGACTTGGGTAGATCCGTAATATCACAGTAATGCTTCTTGTCGCTGTACCGGGTGAGGAGAGGGGCGATCCCTTCGTACGAAGTTTGAGGGGGTTCCAAAGAATCGACCATCCTCGAAATCTGCACGAGGGGCTCGCCTAAGATCATCGCCTTGGTCCTTTGAATTTTTCGGCTGGTCAGTTGCATCGTTCTTGCTATCGTTTTGAGCGGTTGGTAGTCAACGCGTTGTCGTACCAATTTCAAGATCTCCGGATCATCTTCGTCACTGCTTTCCGCATCATCAGTTTATGGCTTCCCTTCTGCGGGTTTGTCCCAGGAGATCATGCGGAGAGTCCCTGCCATCATCGGCAAAACCCGCGGAATCGCGTTAATAGTAGTGCGAAGGGTCAATCGCATGGGCACAGCGTAGGGTTTTCCTCCTGTATTTCGGAGGACGATCGATCGTCGTTCGAAATCCAGGTTTGCTCGTAACGCCACAAGAGCAGGAAGTCCGAAAAGAACGTCGTACGTATTAACATCTAGTACTACGACATCCCCTAGCTCGTGTACTTTACCTAATCGGAAAGGGACATTGGTCATTCTCCCCACAGTTTTAATATTTTCCTCATCTGCCGAAAGGAGCTGATCTTTCTCGGTAAGCATGATCAGGTCGTTTTTCCTACCGKCCCTTTCGACCACTCTTAGTGAGATAGCCAACACARCGGCTCCTSAATCTATTATCGCGTTGTAAGGAACTCCCCAAATTTCAATATCACATTCCGCGGACTTCCACGGAATCGGTTTAATCCGTAAGAAGTGATCGTCTTTCTGAATTAATCCCACACGTATTGGGTCCGGAGTGCTTGTTGGGTTTCCTTCTGGCGCGGGGCCCTTGGCTTTGGCACTTGGTGTTCGGGCGAGGGCAAATCGCTTTCGGTTTGCTTTGCAATGCTGTWGCATTCGCTCATTRGCTTGCTCRGAGATCGAGAGTAGGTGACCGATCGGTAGTGGAATCCGATGGTCCAAARCTCGAATAATG